GACTGTGGGGGCAAGTTGCTGACTCAATTTGCTAAAAAAAATTGTAAACCGCTTAGAAAGGGCTGAAAGCCCTATAAAGCAGTACATAAGTCTAATAAATAAATAAATAAATAAATAAATAAATAAATAAATAAATGTCCTTGCTTTGCAGCACTCTTGAGTAAGGGCACTTGGAGAGGATAGTACTGTATTTTAAGCTGGGCTGCTGGAAAGGCACTATCAGTCCTGAGCAGTTTCTGGTAGGGGAAAAGAAAAGCACCGAGGCTTCTCCTTCTCCCACTGGCCAGCTTGCAACCTGCTAGTTTCTCTCTGGAGACATTCCGCTCCTCAATATTTCTGCTGAACAATACAGATTATTGGAAGATGAGAAGCAGTCTCATTGATCATTGTGAAGAGGGAAGCCAGTAGCAGTTCCTTCTGCCTTGATGGCAATGGCTTGTGCTGTGGATGGTTTCATGGACTATTTATATAGCAATAAAACTCCTGCTCCTGTAACCTTTCACGGGATGAAATGATGCATCATAGGGCAACTCCTTTTGAACCAAGCTACCTCAAAAGGAGTAACTTACCTAATGTGTCCCAAATCTAGGCCCCACAATTTGGCAAATTTTATAAAACATTTTATGACATAAAAATGATAATAAAACAATTTATGGCATAATACAAAACATTTCCTGCGCTGATGTTTGACTGTGCTATACAGTTCAACATGGAGTATTTTCCAGACAGTGAATGTATCTCAGCTTTTTCAGTGAAGGCAATATATTAGGAACTGTACATTGTTAAAAGCATTGAGGAATTAGGCAAGGAAAAAAATCTGAAAGGATGACTCAAGGGGTGGCAGGTTGTTTAGAATTTATAATAGCCAGGGGTCAAGGCAGCCACAAGTTGTCCACTTATTATTAGATTAGACTTATTATTAGATATTTACTATGTCCTTTATTTTCTTGATTGGGGGCTTCTATGTACAGCCTTTAAACCATGCATTCCAAAAAGCAAACTACCTAGTTAGTTTACTAGATTTCTAAATCAGAGCCTGCCCAGTTTTGGGATCAAGAAATATTAACTTCCCCCTGTTAATAAATGAGCAAATATGCCTGTAAGGATATAAATTCTTCACTATCATTGTATGTGAAATTGTTTAAAAATGCACCCGTACTTGTTTCTTTTCTTTGGAGTGAGCGCTTTCTGTGTGATTGATGGAGGAGGAGGCACTTTTGAAGCAGGGGTTCTTGGTGCTTTCTGAGCTTGCTTGTTTTTTTTTTGCAAAAGTTTCATTATCCTAACTAGGTAACATCATCAATGCTAGTAAGGAGTGCTGTTTGCTGTTGTTTTATATTCTGGTGTCTTGCCTGTCTGTGTGGGTGGGGGCGGTTTCAGAGATTCTTTGGTTGGGCTGTTTACTGATGGCTCTTTGGCAGTTATTGTTTACTTGATTGTTGTACTGAAGTTCACCTTGGAGTTAATCTACATTGTGTGCACAATTATTAGGCAAGTGAATATTTTGACCACATCATCATTTTTATGCATATTTTCCATCTCTAAGCTGCATAAACTTGAATGCTTAGTGGATATAAGCATATCAGGTGATGTGTTCTTGTGTAATGAGGGAGGGTGTGGCCTAAGGAGATCAACACCCTATATCAAGGTGTGCATAATTATTAGGTAGCTTCTTTTCCTCAGGCAAAATAGGCCAAAAAAGAGATTTAAATGACTCTGAAAAGTCTTTCAGAGAGATGTAGCACTCTTGAAATTGCTAAGATATTGGGGTATGATCACAGAACCATCAAATGTTTTGATGCAAATAGTCAACAGGATCTCAAGCAACATGTTGAGAGAAAAAAAGGCGCACATTAACTGCCGAAGATTTGAAAAGAATCCAACATGAAGTTACCAGGAACCCATTACCCCCAGTGCTGTCATATTTCAGAACTGCAACCTACCTGGAGTGCCCAGAAGTACAAGGTGTTCAGTACTCAGAGACATGGCCAAGATAAGGAAGGCTGAAACTCAACCACCATTGAACAAGATACATAAGTTGAAATGGCAATACAGGGCCAAGAAATATCTGAAGACAGATTTTTCAAAGGTTTTATGGACTGATGAGATGACAGTGATATGACAGACTAGATGGATGGGCCCATGGCCAGATCAGTAATAGGCACAGAGCTCCACTTCACCTCAGAAGCCAGCAAGGTGGAGGTGGGATACTGGTATGGTCTGGTATTATTAATGATTAGCTAGTTGGACCTTTTCAGGTTGAAGATGAACACAAAATCAATTCCCAAATTTACTGCCAGATTTTAGAAGACACTTTCTTCAAGCAGTGTCTGCATCTGTCTGCATCTTTCAAGAAGACCATGATTTTTATGCAGGACAATGCTTCATTGCATGCATAAAAGTACTCCACTGTGTGGCTAGCCAGTAAAGGCCTTAAAGATGAAAGATAATGACTTGGCCCCCTTCCTCACCATATTGAGAACTTGTGGGCCCTTCTTAAATGGGAGATTTACAGTGAAGGAAAACAGTACACCTTTCTGAACAGTGTCTGGGAGGCTGTGGCTGCTGCTACACAAAAGGTTGGTCATCCATAGATCAAGAATCTGACAGACTCCATGAATGGAAGGCTTATGACTATTACTGAAAAAAAGGTGGCTATATTGGTCACTGATTTTTTTTGTGTGAACTGTCAGAAATGTTTATTTGTACATTTTGAGTTGTTTGTTTATTATTCTCACTTTAACAGATGCAAATAAACGAGTGAGATGGGCAAATTTTTGTTTTTCATTTAGTTGCATAATAATTATGCACACTGATAGTTGCCCAATAATTGTGCACACATAGATATTCTCACACAAAAGCCAAAACTTCACTTTTACTTTCTTAAATGTTCAGGTTTGAGGTTTATTAATATTTTGGATTAACTGAAAGCGCTGTAGTTGTTCAATAATGAAATTAATCCTCCAAAATACAACTTGCCTAATAATTGTGTACAGAGTGTACGCTGATCTGAGTGCTGATCACGGGTGGAGAGAGTCTTTTTCTCTTTCGGACTGGTTGATTTTCTCTTTTGGATAGTCTATAGATGTTGTTAATGTCTATACACCTGTTGATTTGTCAGAGTGCCAGGCTTCTAGAAATTCCCTGGCATTTTCGGACTTGGCCTGGACTAGGATTATATGGTTAAATCTGTCTACATGTTGTGAAATTAAAGAACTTTCAGCATGTCTTCTAACTGCCAGTTGGTGTTCATGGATGCCTTCTGCCTGTCCGTCCTACATAGTAGTTGTTGCAGTTCTTACATTGTATGTTGTAGATGACTGTTGTTTTTCTTCTTCTGGGGTTACTGGGTCTTTTCGTTTGCTTAAGATACTTTGAAGGGCTTTAGTTGGCTTGTGTGCTATGCTGATTCCATGTGGTTGTAGAAGTCTACTTGTGGTTTCTGAGATATTCTTGATGTAAGGCAATGTAATTCTTTTTAGGGTTTGTGTTGATTGTGCTGTATTAGGTTGAGTGGTCAGGGACCTTTTAATAAAGTTCCGTGGCTATCCATTTTCTTGGAATGTGTTGTATAGATGCTTAATTTCCTTTTTCTGCTGTTCTGAGTAGCTACAGTGTTTTGGGGCTCATTTAAATAAGGTCCTTATACAGCTTCTCTTGTGGAAGATTAGGTTGTTGCTTTAGTAGTGGGGTACCTGGTTAGTATGGGAGATTTTTCTGTAGACTTGCATTTCTAGTTTGCCATTGTGGTCTCTCCTGATCAAAATGTCTAGGAAGGATAGCAAGTTGTTGTTTTCTTTTTCTCTAGTAAACTAGAGAAAACAAATATTCTCCTTTATTGGTACTGTTGAAGCAATTTCAGGAAGGGTGATTTTATGAATCTGTCGTAACAATTTCGATGGACTCATGGATTCATTTTACTGAATTCATTTTTGAATATAATTTTTATTGAAGAAATGTTTAACAAGATAAAAGCAATACCAATGTTCGAAAAAAAATAAAGTAAAATAGCGTATAGATAAGAATTGAAAGGAAAGGAAAGGTTATAAAGTAGCAACTTCTTATATTCCTCACAACAGTTATAAATGTATTTATATTTTACTCTGTTTCTTTAAGGTTATATCATGACTTCCCTCTTTTCATAATCCATCCTTTCTAATCATCAAACCTATAACTCACAAGTTATTTTTTCCTTTTTTCAGCAAAAAGTCCATGAGCCCGATCAGTAATAAAACTAGTGGTTGTCCTTTACCTAATCAAATAAATCAATTTTGCCATCTCAGCAAATCCTGCCACCTTCACCAGACATCTCTCCATTGTGGTTATTTCAAACAAAAGCACTTTTCAAATTAAGAGAGAGAACGTTCCTCCTTAAGAGAAAACTTTCTTAACTTAAAATCATATTAAGTCTTTTGCTGTTATATCCTCTTTTCATTTCTTTGTTTGATCCAGAAGAAAAGTTGACTCACCAAGTGGTTTTTTTTTTCTTTATTCCACTGGTCTGGAGTTCTTTTTTTAACTGTAAATAAGTTACATTTTAAGATGTTTAAGAAAGTCAGGCTCTGAGCAAACCTTCAGCAAGGTTCAGTCTTCTAATGTCTTTAGAAAGTGGCATTGCAGGTGAAAGCTGACTCTTCCCTGATCCCCAGTCATTCTACTGAAGAGTCAACTGCAAGTCCAGTAGTCTTCTCATAAGGAACATACTTCTGGAGTGATGGGTGATCTCACAGTCCCCCCTTGTCTGGAGAGGCTCCACTGTCCAGATTTCTCCATCTTGCTGCTAGTCACCAGTACGGCACCATCTTTGCTTCTTCATAGATGTCCACTTCACTCCATTTTAACCGAATTTGAACTATCTTTTCACATCAAGGTGATAATTCAGTGGCCCATGGATCACTGCTAATTTACAGATGCAAAAATTTTGAAAATGAGCAAGTACTTCAATAACAGAAGACAATTAATTCTGCTGTAACTAATTGTAATTTCAGGGACCTCCTGGTGTACCTGGTTTGATAGGAATCCCAGGACCAAAAGGAGAACCTGGAGAGATTTTCTATGACTCCATTGTAAAAGGTGAAAAAGGAGAACCAGGATTACCTGGACATCCAGGTACTCCTGGCAAAGAAGGAAGGCCAGGAAAGGATGGTGTCCCTGGCAGCCCAGGACCTAAAGGAGCATCTGTATGTATCTGTCTGTTTATGTCCATTCTTTTATGCAAATTATAGAACATAAAAATGTGTGTGTTGAAATTAACTCATTTTATTTTTTAAAACTCTCTGAATGTTTGCATAATCTTATGAATTATACAGAAAGCCTAATTGGTTAAATAAAAATCATTTGATAACATGAGTAGATAAATTAATGAATTCTAGTAAATGCATAGTCTGATAGAAAAAGCCTAGGCTGTGGTTAACTGATGCACAGACAGAAGATGCCGTTTTAGAAGATGAAGGGGAATGCCTCTTCTAGTATGGCATTTGCTGTTATTATAATCACTTTTACTAAAAGTTATCTATTCAACAACATCCCAAAGAAACTTAACTTCTGTTTGTAAAATAAGCTTTTATCAATCCCTCATTTTCTCTTGAGCCATTTCAATTTTGGGTGGGGCAATGAGGGCTGAACAGAGAGAAGGAATTCATTCCACTGACAGATATTGACACAGCTGGGTTTCAGTAACAGACTGAAAACAAACTACTGCTTGATTAATGAAGAGTCATTCCCTTTAATCAATTAGTCTTTGGTGTAATGGTAAAGGTATTGCTTTAGAAAGCAGAATCTGTGAGCTCCGGCTGTCCCTTAGGCATAAAAGCTGACCAGATGACTTTGAGCCCAACACTTCTCAGAGAGTTGCTGCTCACAGGAGATTGGAGTCTTAGATATGTTCACTTCTTTGAGTTATATTTAAAAACTGGACAAAATGATAGTAATAATAATAGTAAGAGGAGGAGGAGGAGGGAAGGAGGAGGAGGAAGAGGAGGAGGAAGAGGAGGAGGAGGAGGAGGAGGAAGATACCTAGGATGCTGGAGCAACCCGTATCAGCCATTAGTGCCAGTCAATGGTATTTGTGATACATTTTTAAATGTTCAGTTGACTGAGTTTCATGTTTAATGAATAAAAGAAACAATAACAATCCTGCAATTATACCTTTAGTGTTATTAAATAACAATATCTTCCTATCCCAGGAAGAAGTTGATAGGTGGACAAAAATGCCAAATCCAGTCTAAATGGATTTGCAATAATTGTTGCAAAAAGAGTTTACAGATAGTCCTCAACTTACAACAGTTCATTTATTGACTTTTTGAAGTTACAATGGCACTGAAAAAGTGACTTATGATGGTTTTCACAGTTACAACCGTTGCCGCATCCCCATAATTACATGATTCACACAATTAAATTTCAGATGCAATTGGTTCATATTTATGACAGTTGTAGTTCCTGGAGTCATGTGATCATCTTTTTCAAACTTCTAACAGGCAAAGTCATTGGGAAAGCCAGATTCACTTAACAACTGTGTTACTAACTTAACAACTGCAGTAATTCACTGTGGCAAGAAAGGTTATAAAATGGGACAAAAATCACTTAACAAATGTGTCACTTAGCTACAGAATTTTTTGGTTTTGTGGTCATAAGTTGAGGACTACCTGTATTAGTGTTATGTCTGATGTGTTTCCTCTGTTTACTCCTACTGTCCCAGGTCTTTCTTTAAAAAGACTGCAACAGGAGGTTGGGGTGGAAAGCATTAGTGCATAAATGGATATATTCATACTACTCAAGATCAAATGCAGGGTTACTTGTAATTTCTGTATTGTTTATTCATGCTTATTACTCCATCTATAGCCTGGGGAAATGAACTGTTTTAGTTGATGGTATATCATGCATATGAATTCTATACTTTTATTTTATTTGCAATCCAGTGCATTTGCCTAAGAGGGTCTATCAAACTATTTCAACCCTTCTGAACTACAGTAATATTTGAGGAATATTTCTCTCAGAAATTCTGCTCAAATTGAACCTCATTACTTAATTTTGTTTCCTTTTTTCACCACAATATTGACTACAGATACTTGACTATCATGAAGTCCAGCAACATTTCATTGCCTCTTTGTAACCAACCTTCGCCATCTTCAGATGGATATAGAATCATAGGGCTGGGAAGGACCTTGAAGGTCTTTTTGTCCAACTTCCTTCCCAGGGCAGAGATCTATGATGTACCCTATTGATATTTGTACTTGTGGAAAATCCATTGTGAACTCCCTTCCTTACTGCCTCATTATTCCCTATCATATAGCATCTCAGTTCTTATTACTGTGAGCAGGAATAAGGGGGAGGCATTTTTCAATTCAACGCTTTTCAGCATAATCATTAAGCCTAATTTGGAACAAACATCAAATCCATCTCATTGATTATCTGCTTGCCCCTAATAGCACCAAGTGAATTATTCACTAAGATAAATTTTATGCTGATATAGTGCATGCCTTCTCAAGAAGCATAAATCCCAGTATTACCAATAGCCTTTTTTTCTGAATCAGCCCCAATACCGTGTCCTGGGATCAACTATAATGGCTCCTGAACTTTGCTTTGCCTGCATTTTTATGAGAGCAGATAAAGTACTGAGCAAATCCTTTAAATGACAGAGGTTTTAGAACTGGAGACAAATTGGCTATAAACAACCAGTTTCTATTGTTATGGATGCTGTGTTTGACTTTGTTTATGTGGCCTTTTGACCTCAATTCCTGTGTACCTAACCCTATTAAGCATGACCAGAGACCCTGGGAAAAGGTCTGTTTCAAAGAATTAAGAAAGCCTTTATTAGATTCCCACAGATGATTCCATCCTGTGCATGTTTCTGGAGGTTGCACAGGAAGAATTTCCCCCATCCCCAAATCTCCACAACAGACTGGATTTTATCCTGATCCAAACTTAGATTAGGAATTATTCATCTAGTATAGAATTGTATATACAATAAGTTCTTCTTGGGGAGCAGGAAATTCTTCATATACCCTGCTTACTTTCTTCTTTCCTTAAACCAGGGAACCATTGGATTAAAAGGAGACCGTGGACTCCCAGGGATAAGTGGTTTACCAGGGTCTCCTGGAGACAGAGGTTTCCCTGGTCCTCCAGGAGTTGGGAATCCTGGACCACAGGGTGATAAAGGAGATAAGGGAGTTCCTGGAATCCCTGGGACCTCTGGACTTCCAGGTAATGCTATAAAAGTAATGTGGATACACATTTTTTTTAAAAGGGTCAAAGTACGTACCACATTTTTCAGTGATTAAAATTTTGTATTATCACAGACATAGCAGCAAAACTGGCAACTATTTATGCAATATGGGGATTGCCATTGTGACTCAAAAAGACAAATTCTTTAAAACCATCTTCAGATTGAAGAGTTATTTTGACAAAACAATCCACAGATTATTTTAGTGGAAGAAACAAGGAAACCACTGGAGGAAACAAAGGCTAAAATGAAATATTCTAACTCTTGGAAGTCTGTTTGTTAAGATATTTTTAAAAATCATGTCTCTGAATAACATCATTTAAAGATATGGTTTCCAAATAGTACTCTTTTTATGACATTTATGCAAACAAGGTTCACAAACATTGTTGTCCACAGCAGTGTCCAGCAGCTCTAAGATGGACTTCACTCTCAGAATTCCCATCCAGTGTGCTGGCTGGAGAATTCTGGCAACCAAAATCCACACATCTTAAAGCTGCTGAGGTTGAGAACATTGATCTAAAGTAAGATAGAATGATGGCTTGCTGGGTCTTAGAAAGCCATATCTGCCCTGTCTCCAAACAAAGAGCCATGTTTTCAGTTTTCTGTGAGGAAACAGACAATGGAAAAGATGCCATCTATAGATAGATTGTATTAAACTGATGTTGCTATCTTTTCAAGTATTTGGGCACCTTTTCCATTTTCTACTGCTATATTCACACAATATGGATCTATAGTGTGGCTATAAAATGCAAGTATTGTATCTAATTATGCAAAATGATTGGGGAATATTTGCCTTTAAGATTATGTAATTGCTGTTGTTTCACTGGTAGGTTACAACTGGTACTGGTGTACCGGGGCCTACCGGGAGCACCGGGTACCGTTCAGGTATGGTGCTCCAGAGAACCCACTCGCCTGCCCACATACTTCGAGTACTTCGGTGCTTCCATGCACAGAGCATACAGCGCCTGCGTGATGCTCCGCCAAGTAGCTGGAGCATTGTGGAGGCATCACAGAGCGTCTCAGGAGGTAAAGATGCATGTGCGCACTGTGCATGTGCACGCACATGCTCCGTGCGTTCATGTGGTGGACGTCGGTTCCATGGATGGTGCTTCCATGCACAGAGCATACAGTGCCTGTGTGACGCTCCGCTAAGTAACTGGAGCGTTGCGGAGGCATCACGGAGCATCGCAGGAGGTAAAGATGCATGTGCGCACTGTGCATGTGCACGCACATGCTCCGTGCGTTCATGTGGTGGACGTCGGTTCCATGGATGGTGCTTCCATGCACAGAGCATACAGTGCCTGTGTGACGCTCCGCTAAGTAACTGGAGCGTTGCGGAGGCATCACGGAGCATCGCAGGAGGTAAAGATGCATGTGCGTACTGTGCGTGTGCACACGTGTGCTGCGTGTGTTCATGTGGTAGACGTCGGGCCCCGTAGCACCATACCAGTTGCAACGGGATCCGGAACCCACCACTATCTTGTTTGCTAATGTGTTAGACAAGCAGAGATATGCAACACCCTTCCTTTTTTAGTATTCCTCATCAATTATATAAAGCAATAAAACATTTGCCTGCATGTGTGGTTTTGCTAAAAACCAATGGTTTCTTAAAGTAATCATCAGTAACATACTTTTTGTGCAGCTGTTGTAAAAACAAGTAAAAGTACAAACCAATCTTATTTCATTCTTTGACATACTAACTAAATTAATAGATCAGTGAAATGCTGTGGACATAGTATACTTAGACTTTAGCAAGGCATTCAACAAGGTAGACTACAACCTACTTCTTGGTAAGCTAGAAAATAGTGGGATAGATAGCATCACCATCAGATGGATTTGTGACTGTCTGACAAACTGTACTGTATGACAAAGTAGTCCTTAATGGTACTACGTCTGCATGGAGGATGAGGGAATAGAAGGGAAACTTATCAAATTTGCAGATGATACTAAGTTGGCAGGAATAGCCAACACCCTAGATGATAGCCTCAAGATGTAGATGGATCTTGACAGACTTGAACACTGGGTCCTAACTAACAAAACGAAATTGAATGTAAAGAAAAATAAAGTCTTACACTGAGGCAAGAAGATAGATTGGGAGAAATCAGGCCTAATAGCAATAACTGTGAGAGAGATCTTGGAGTCTTAGTGGACAACCAATTAAATATGAGGCAACAGTGTGCAGCAGCAGCCAAAAAAGCCAATGCAATCCTAAGTTGCATTAGCAGACGGATTCAATCAAGATCACAAGGTACTAATACCACTCTATAAAGCCTTAGTAAGACCACACTTAGAATACTGCATCCAGTTTTGGTCACCACCCTATAAAAAGATGTTGAGACACTAGAAAGAGTGCAGTGTAGGGTAACAAAGATGACTAGGGGGCTGGAAACTAAAACATATGAAGAACGGTTACAGGAACTGGACATGGCTAGTCTAGTGAAGAGAAGGACAAGGAGACTTGATAGCAGTGTTCCAATACTTGAGGGGGCTGTCACAGAGAGGAGGGGGTCAAGCTATTTTCCAAAGCACCTGAAGTCCAGACAAAGAATAATGTATGGAAACTGATGAAGGAGAGACTCAACCTAGAAATAAGAAGAAATTTTCTGACAGTGAGAACAATCAACCAATGGAATGTGGGAGCTTTATCACTGGAAGCTTTCAAGAAGAGACTGGACTGCCATCTATCAGAAATGGTGTAGGATCTCCTCCTTGGGTAGGGGGTTGGACTAGATGACCTACAAGTCTGTTATTCTGTTACATTGCTATATAAAATTTACATTACATTACAAATAATTATATCTACAGCAATGCACTTTATTTCTATTTCTTTATTGCAGAGAAAAACAACTTTTCTAGATGCAGGAGTCATGTATGGTGCTAGATATACAGCCTGTACAAATATAGACATACACAGTAATAAGGATAGTTGATGGCTATGATCAGGGAGGTGGTGAATTCTCGTTCACTGGATTTTTATTTAAATAGATGCTACACTATCTGTCAGGTTTGCCTGGATTTGGATACTAGAAAAAGTGGGGGTTGGATTCAATGGCCTGAGTGAGCCATTCCAGCTATAGATTCAGAGAAAAAGGGTTTTAGTTTGTCAAACGATTGATTCATAGGCTGCTGGCAATATGGATCGGAGCAATAGCAAGGAGAAAATATGAGGAGAAGAGAGGGAAATGGGAGAGAGAGCATCTTCAGTGGAAGCAGCCTCTAGGGCACATCCCAGATGTGTTTAGTACTCATATCCCTTCATTATTATGTTGCTTAAATGTTTTCCTTAAAGCTTCTGCCTTTAAAAAAAATTGAACCATACTCCAAGTTAGATAAAATCCAATGTTTTCCCACCTTCTATCCCTACAGTATAATTAATCCAAGTATTTAGGATTTGTATTTTGATATAGTTACAGAATTAAGACTAAACAAATGATAGCAGGACTTTCATTGAATTTCACTGACAGTAAGCAGAACCCCTTATTGCTCTACTGCAAATTCATGTGACAATGGCAGTCACCTCTTCTCTAGAGGGAATGAGGGAAACAGTTTTAAAATGTTCATGGTGATCCAATATCTTTGTCAGTGTAAAAATTCCAACTAAGATTTCCTTTGCTAAATTGAAAGTACATTTGAGGAAGTTAATTTTACTTTATCTAATGTGCAAAAAGTTGACATTACTGGGATATGTCAAGTATGAACTAAAGAATTAGAATTTCCAAGAAAGCCATAACAATGGCTTCAGGTCATCTAAAAATTTGAAATTAAGGTTGATTTATCAAAGTAACTCAATTTAGAGAGTATGGGACTCCCCAAAGAATGTATACGAAAGGATGGATATCAGATTTTTTTTAGCTGGAGTTGTAAAACACTGGAGGCATGGTCATGTGATCATTTCATATTTCTTTGGGATAGTAGAATCATAAAATCATAGAGCAAGAAGGGATCTTAGAGGCCTTCCAGTCCAACCCCTTGTTGGAGTCCTTATACCATACCGGACATGCAGGAGTCCTTATCCATGCAAGAGTCCTTATATCATACCGGACAAATGGTTGTCCTATCTTCTCTTGAAAACCTTCAATGATGGAGCACCCTCTGGGAGGAAAGTTTTTCCATTGATGGTAACCTGTCCCATTAATAATATATTAATGTACTGTATATTAATAGACATGATAAAATCTGTAAATGTTAAACATGTTAATGTTATGTTGAATTTCATATCAAAGCTTTGGCCATTGCTCATTTCTTAAAAATTGCAGCTGTATGCATTTATGCATGGGGGATGGCAAAAAGAATTATATTAAGAAGTTGGAAAATGGTATTAAGATAACAAAGAATGATTGTCAAAATACATGATCTATCTGATTTAGAAAAGCATGTTTTCTATTAATCAAAGGATGCAGCAATATATTTTACTGTGACAATGATTTTGTGATATTATAGTCGTAAATTAATAGAAAACGAGTGACTGTTGATAAGTATAAAATATAATGTAGATTTATTTCTTATTCTTCATTTTTAGTTGTATTTTTAGTTTTTAGTTTTATTTTTTTAAATATTTTTAAAAGATTAAAATGGTGTGTCAAGATTGTTTCTAGGTATGTCAGTCTTTAAATGCTATCCAGAGAGAAGACCTAGTGAGTTGAGTATGATTTATTTTCCATTTCCATTCCATTTCCATTTATTGAATTTATAGGCTGCCCAATCCCGGAGGACTCCGGGAGGCTTACAGAAATAAGAAATATTAAAAAGATTAAAACAAATAAGACACAACAAATTAAAAGAAACACAACATGCACCCAGCCTAAGCGGGGCTGGACTTCAATCAAGAGGTCAACAGCCCCAGGCCTGCCGGAAAAGCCAGGTTTTGATAGCTTTACGGAAGGTAATGAGAGTGGGTAGGGTCCAGATCTCTGGGGGTAGCTCGTTCCATAGGGCCAGAGCAGCAACAGAGAAGGCCCTACTCCGAGGCGTCGCCAGCCGACATTGTCCAGCTGATGGCACCTGGAGAAGGCCAATCCTGTGCGATCTTATCGGTCTTAGGGAGGGATTCGGCAGAAGACGGTCTCATAGATATCCGG